GAATGTCTAGGATATCTTCCACCTCTGGATAAACTGGTCCACTCGCTTCTGAGTTGCTGGCACTTGTGTTATGTCGGTCCTTGTACATCACTCTTTCATTAAAGATGACATCTCTGTTGCGGATCATCTTTTTGTTTTCATCATCCCATATGCGGTAGCCAAACTCTTCTTCACCATAACCAAGAAAAGTACATTTCTTTGATTTTGGATCAAGTTTGTTTCTACCTTGATCACTGATGTGCACATATGCTACACACCCGAAAACTCTAAGATGTGAGAGTTTTACTTCTTTTTCGCTCCATACCTCTTCTGGTAACTTGTGATCCAGTGGTACCGATGGACTTCGGTTGATCAAGTAAGTTGCTGTGTTGACTGCTTCTGCCCAGAACTGCTTTGTTAAGCCTGACTGCATTCGCAAGCTTCTGCTTTTTCAGTCAGCGTTCGATTCATACGCTCAGCTACGCCATTGTGTTGAGGCGTACCAGGCACGGTTCTCTCCATTCTGATCCCGTGCTCATGACAAAACTTCTTGAATCTGGTGGTCACATATTCACCACCATTGTCGGATCTGAGCTTCTTAATCTTCAATCCTGTCTCATTTTCCACCATAGCTTTCCAAATTTTAAAAGCTTCAAATACTTATGACTTGTGTTTCAGAAAGTAAACCATACTTTTCTGGAGTGATCATCGCTAAAAGTCACGAAGTATTGCTTCCCACTACCGGATGGGACAGTCGTTGGACCCCAAACATCAGAGTGGACGAGCTCAAGCTTCTCCTTCTTTGGAGTTCTTCCACTTGTCTGAAAGCTGACTCTCTTCTGCTTTCCAAGTATACAATCTTCACACATGTCAATTTCTATTGACTGAAGGCTTGGTAATTTTCCTTTTGAATGCATGATCTTCATCCCTTTTTCACTCATATGCCCAAGTCTTTGGTGCCACAGATTGGGATTTTCATTTGCTGCAACTGCGATCAGATGACATGCTCCAGTTGTCTTGTAAAGAGTACCACTCTTTTTGCCTTGAGCAATTGTCATCGCACCTTTTGAAATCCTCCAATCATCTCCGTGGAAGATTGTCGTGTAGCCTTCACTGGCTAGCTGGCCCACCGAGATTAAATTCTTTGTCAGGTCGGGAATATGTCTAACATTTTTCAAAACCCATACAGACCCGTTCAATTTGATTTTTATCGCACCTTTGTCTACAACCTCACATGATTGTTCATTACCAAGGTAAACTTTACCAAGATTTCCAGGAACATAATTTTCGAATAGTTCCTTCTGTGAGGTGGCATGAAAAGATGCTCCTGAGTCTAACACCCAAGACTCCTCTTTGTTCTCTAAAGAACATATCAGCATATCTCCTCCTGAGACTGAAGCAATATTTGCCTCTTCTTTTGCCTTCTGGTTCTTGGGTGCACTCCTGCACTGGTTTTTGTAGTGCCCGGTCTTTCCACAATTCCAGCACTAGATCGACTTCGAGTTTTGAGAACTACGATGATTTCTGGACTTGGATCTTCTTCCCTTTGATTTGTTATGTCTGCTTTCTTTGGTTGAACTTCTTCCTCTTGATTCTGTATTCAATACAGAAGAGGTTGATGGTTCACCCGACTTTCTCCGCCGGATCTCTTCACTGAGAACCAAATTTTGGACATCATCAAATATCAACCTATTGCTTCCCGATGAGCTACTCACAGCCGTGACCGTAGCATTCCAACTTTCTGGTAGGGAAGACAAAAGTATTAAAGCTCGTACTTCATCATCGAACTCGATCTCAACTGAACTCAACTGGGTTGTGACGGTGTTGAGCTCATTGAGATGATGTGCCACCGAAGCACCTTCGGTCATCCGAAGGTTGAACAATCGCCTCATCAAAAGAACTTTATTTGAGGCTAATGGTTTCTCGTACATGTTGGAAAGAGCCTTCATGAGGCCTGCTGTCGTCTTTTCTTTTGCAATGTTAAAAGCAACATTACGGGACAACGTCAGTCGAATGGCTCCAAGAGCTTGTCTGTCAAGGAGACTCCATTCTTCCTCCTTCATGTCCTCTGGCTTCTTTCCTGTGAGTGGTTGATACATATTCTTTTGGTAAAGATAATCCTCGATCTGCATCTTCCAAAAGCCAAAGTCCGCACCATCGAACTTTTCAATTTTCATTTTTCCTTCGTCTGCAGCCATCACTTCGGTTCTGGTCTGACTTCTCTGCCGGATCATTTCTGATAATTTTTGTGAACTACCGTGTTTCAGAACACGTCGGTAGATAAATTTGTAGCGCCGACCACTATTCACGGAATAGTAACACCACACAAAAATTACAGAATTAACAATCTACCTCTGATACCAGTTGTTGGGAAAAATACGCTGAAATTTCCATGAAGTCGGACAAAAAAAATGAAATAAAAAAGAAAAATTGGATACGCCAAATTGATAACGAAGTTCGGCCAATAATGCCTACGTCTCCGGATTACTACAGATATTTTATTAAGAAGAAAAATACACTCGTGTTTACAAAACACTCTCAAATTCACTCACAATTCACAACTCAAAAATACACACAAAGGCTAGATTATTTTCTAGCTCACTCCCTCTTTTTCTCTCTCGTATTTTGGTTGTTCTTGGTGTGTCTTTGCTTCAAAATTGTGCTTCTATTTATAGGTGAAAATGGTGCAAAGCTGGTGTAGAATTGGTGCAAAATTTCGGCTGCAAATTTAATGCTCAGCCTCCAAAATTTAATGCTCATTAAATGCAATACGACTAGGACTTATCATCATCATTTTTCAGCAGCTATTTTTCCTCGAAAGTCCACATTTGTGGCTGGACACAACACCTACAACATCCTAGGTCAGAATCAGAAGAGATACGAGTTTCGAGCCGTTCGCTCGAGTGTTTGAAATTGGTTTCCTACCCAGACTGTTATTATACATTCAAGTTGGACGTACCAAGTCTCCGCAGGTTTACGTTTGATGGTTCACTCTTTGATCACATGATTGTTGCATCGGCTTCAAGGAATCTGATGTCTTGCTTAACAATAACAGAAGGAGGTCACTTGAGCACCACATTGTTCAAAAGGTTGGGTAATTTTCTAACGGGGTTGGGGTAGTCGGAAGTTCATCTCTGTCTCCGTCTCTACTCAGAAACCATATTGGATTATGAGCCGGGAGACTTTGAAGGTTTGCCGAAACATGAGGTGGCTAGTTTCACGATAGACGTGTATGGTTTGTCGTTTATAACTTGTTACGTTCTTTTTGACGGTTTGTTTCAGATTATCCACCCAAATTTCGTGAAGCACTACATACATCCCGAGTCAAGCTGCGGTTGGAATCGCCGAAAGTTGGTGAAACACTACCGACTGCTTCCTGAGTTAAGCTATAGTGAGAACACGAACAATAATTTTCTTGGAAAGAGGCTTCTTGAGGGAGTGAACGGGAGTTTATGCTCGGTCGGGAGCCATCTTATGCGTAGTGTGCATGACCTTAAGGAAGTAAGTGTGCAGCTTTTTGATGATGATGCTTCTGAGTGGACTTCCATTCCATGGGAGTTATTTTGATTTTCTTCTTTAATGTTTCCTTGTTTCAAGTGGCATTCACTTTCTACTAATGTGGAACTTTGATATGGAATCATGAATTGCTGGGAGCAGGCAAANAAAAAAAAAAAAAAAAAATGATAAATGATAATATATATGATTGTTTGTAATAACCTCGATGAATGTCAAACCACTACTTGATTTTTGGTATTTAATTAAGTTAAAGTAGAGTTGACAATTAGGGAGTTGATGGCTAGAGGCCTGATCAGATATACAACAGGGCCACCAACACTTCGGTCCTAATTTGAAGGGGTTTTGTCCTTAGTTTTGACATTGTTCTTGAATGTGTTGGGTTGAGATATCCATTTTTGGTGGAATTTATTTTTTGTTTAGAGGAAAGCATCCTTGTTGAGATCATTTGAGCTATTGTATCCTAATATTTATGGTGTTGGAATTGTTTTTATCAACTCTTCGAGCCTGCTATAAGCCTATATCATATCCTCAAGTTACTAGTGAAAACAAAGTAGCGTTGACAAAAATTCAGCCCTGCCCATTTATTTTGCATTATAATCATATTTTTCCAATTTTGGCAATTAAAGACAATAATTTATGTATTGTTACATATCGAATCATGTTGGTCATTTTTTGTGTCGGAAAGATGACATAACAAGCTACAAAAATCGACGTGGATTTGAATAATTCAAAGAAAAAGTAAATCACCAGGGGAGAAAACCCAGGAAGAAAGAAATTCATGGGCAACTGTTAAATGTGCCGAAAAAATCGAAAAATTTGAAGCCAATTAATTCCTTGAAGTAGATTCATAAAAATGAAGAACCGTCGAAATGGATGTTGATGGGTATGTTGGATATAGGACGAAGGACAAAGCTGTACGGGAGTGCGTGTCTGAGGCGTCACATAGCCTTCCCTTTCTCGGTCATGTAGGCGTCGGTGTCGGATCATCGGTGTTGCTAATCCCCTCCAGCATTGAAATCCTTTTAGGAGTACATATCTAGGCTGTGAATTGACTCCTCGCCAGATCTGTCTAGGCGGCTGTAGTTTATAGCTCTTGGGTTTGAATTTGCAACTCTCTTGGAATTATGTGCTGAAGAGCGTAACTCATATGTCGGTTTCGGCGTCAGCGTGGTGTGCTAGCTTAGTGTAAGGGAGGTTTTATTCTATTTGTTTATTAGGTGTATGCTGTTGTCTTTGTGTTTTGTTGTTGTGTGTAGTATCAGTCCACGCTTCGTCTGGTTTTTAGTCTCTTTTATGGAGTTTTTTGTTGTGCGGGTGTAAGTACGGTTGTTTGTGTAATTCTAAGGGGGCAGGGAATATATTAGAAAATTAAAACCAAAAAAAGAGCTCCGAAGTAACAGTCGCCGTGTAATTTCAGTCTTAAATCTTTAGTTAACATTTCATAACTATGACATCGTCAATGATTGCTCCTCCACAGCCAAAACAGAGGACAAGAAAAGGCTAAAATGGCGGAGCAATTGAAAGACAAGGAGAAAGAGGGCGAGCGATGGACGGCCGAGATTTCTAATCTCACCGAGATCTCAGAAAATATCGACTCTCTTCAGAGGCTGCTGATCAAGAAAGCCGTTTACGTCGACGGTGAAACCTTCGCCAAAGCTTCCCTTAGCTCCGAGCAATCCCGCACGATCAAAGTCTCGCTTGTTTCTGATTTCGAGTCGAACGCTATTTTCTATCTGTCTGAGTGCTTATTTATGTGGAATTCTTCACCGATTCGTAGGTTTTGTGTTTTATTTTCAGTTTATTGTATTTGATTGTGGAATTTTTTGAGTGTTTTGAAGGTTTTATTTGGTGGGCAGTTCACGATTTTCTTTTGATTTTAGATTATGCTTGATCTTGGCCTGGAGATGAACAGATCTGTTAGTGATAAAATTAATTATGTGGGTTGGTGTTGAAAAGTTATGGTTAATTTCTCATTGTTTTATCAAAGATATATTCTTTATTTATTTATTTATGTTGTGTGGACGTCCCGACTCAACCGCTCGACTCATTGACAGCGGAAGTTTCTTTTCTGAGCTCGACAGGCCTCTTGCTAGCCCTCTCGAATTCCAGGAGCTGCTGCTCGTGTCCAGTGGACTCCCAGTTCGCTGTCCGAGCTCCCGGGCTGATTCACGTACACTGTTTTGGCCCCGAATTTCGCCTATTTCAGCCTACAATCAAATACACGATTAAGTTCTAACGAACAACAATAATCGAATAGATAATACACTAAGTACAAATATGATAAAGGCTGAAAATCGAAATAAAGGAGAAGAAATGGTAAAACTCCCTTTCGACGACGACTGAAGGAGAGGGACACGAAGTCGGCTCTCCCGCCTCAGATAGCCCTTGAGCCCGGCACCCTCGGTAAGTAGCGACTCGGTGGTGGTCAACGTACGGCAGCCCCAGTTCCTCAGCCCGCACCCCGTGATGCACCTCACCCGCAGCCCCGCACCCGGTCCTTCGTCGCAATGCCCCTCCACTCGCACAGCGATTCGCCGGAGGCCCTACACAAGGACTTTGGCCGGCGGGTTGAGCAGGGCGACGGTGACAGTACACGGACTGCACAAAGACGACCTCTCGGTTGCACTCACACTCACACCCTCTGAAGGTCACGAAGAATGGGTTTAGAGAAGGAGATAGCAATCGGTTTTCTCACAGACAGAGAGAGTTGTTCACAGCGAGAGAAAAGAGGGGAGAGTATATGTCACCTGTCCTGTAGGCGGAGAGATAGAGGTAGGTTTATATAGTGTGAGTGAGTGGCTGGGATTTAATCCCTTAATCCAACGGTATGGATTAACTCGGGTAAGTGAGGGCCAGGCCCAGACAGGATTTGGGCTGGGGCTTCCTTGGGCCTGAGATTTGGGCTAAATTTCCAACAATTTATATATATTTTTTACTGTTTATGTGTGTTTAGCAACTCTAGCTTATCTGTGATGCTTCAAACTAATAAACCTTCGTAGTTATGAACTAGCTATAATGTAACATTGTGCTATTGGATTGTCTACATATAAACTACTTTAAACGACACAGAAAATGATCAACAAAGCTATTTTAATGACTGCAGTTACTTGAGCAAAGGGTGGAGACCTTAGAAAGAGAACTAGATTCTGCCATATCGGCTGCTGCTCGTGCTCGTACTGAAAAACGTCAGGCTGAGGCATCACAGAAGGCTGGTGAACTACGTGCCCTAGAAATTTCAAGAGAATTGGAAAACACGACAAGTATGTTAATTTGTATTGAGTAACAACTGAATTCATATATTGTCTCTTTTATTATTATTATTTTTTTCTTAGTTTTAGTTAGTTTTTGACATTCCATATCCATATACATCTGTATACATCAAAATTTTGCATAAGTTAGATGTAGATAGGTTTGGGTATCTAGACTTGGAGGAAGATGTGCAGAACTTGGGTTACAAAAGTTGGGGTATATTGTATTACAAGATTCCAGGGGTTGAAGGACCTAGTTCAATGAAGCTTCATAATGATGATGGGATAATGGAGATGATAACATGTATTAAAAATGGTCATAATGTTATTGATGTTTATGTGGATGATTGTGTGGATGAGAAAAATGATGGTGAAGATGAGGCTCAAAATGATAATGAAATTTTGATGATTCAGATTGGAAATAGCAACAAAATGGGGGAAGGTTCAACTGGAAGTAGTGAAATGTCCGTTGTTGATACAGTATTGAAATTGTCCGTTGTAATTTTGTTGGCATTTACCAACAGAAAAAATTTGTTGCTATTTAGCAACGAAGTTTGTCGTTACTAATATAATTATGAAAGTGTCCCTTGCAATTCACTTGTAAATTTGTTACTGTTTACTAATTGATTATCTCCGTCACTAATCGTCGATGGAAAACGAAGATATAACTTTTCGTTGCTATATTTTGTTAGTATTATGTTGGTAATCCATTTTAAAAAATTGCATATGTAAGGCATTGTTAATCCGTTGATAATTCTCGACAGAAATATTTCCGTTGATAATTCTTTTGGCTTTCTGACAATTTCTTGTAGTGACTGGTGTCACCATAGCAAAAACGATGCTACTGGAAAAAAAGAAGAAGAGCTTCGTACAAAGTAGTCAAGTTCAATTTTTTTTTTTTTTTAACTTTGTCTTGTATTTTCGAGGATGAAAATCATTTTAGGAGGGTGAGTTATAGCGCCCCGTATTTTTATTAAAGCTTAGCTCGACATTGGTGATGTATTTTTTTTAATATATTAATATCACTAATGTGTGCATACCACATAAGTCATGAACGTNAACCTTTTCTCCTCCCGGCCCTAATTTTGCAACAAGCACCTGCCATTAAAGCTGTGTCTTGCGAAGCAGGAAAACTCGGCCACCCACTCCGCAAATCTCAAATCGGCAGTCAATAATGGACAGTTTCAGCCCGAGATAGGCAAATACACCCAATCCGCCTTCTAATTTCATTCCCGTTGTTTCGAATTCATGGCCATATGCCGCGAGTTTCTGTTACCCCAATGCATGATCCATCGCATACAATATTTTCTCAATGGAAAAGAAGCTGCCCAAACAACTGTCCTGTCTAAATCTTGGCGCCAAGCCTGGCTCACTCGCCCCAACTTGGACTTTCATATTTACGACTTTTCCTTTGCGGATGAATTCTCAGGGTTTATGGACAAGACTATTGAAAGGTATGAAGAATCGAACCTAAAGATTGAGAGTTTCAGTCTAGCAATAGATTCTTTGAATAATTTATGTGAAACTATGATGATTAAAGCATTGGGAATGGGTGTTACTCGTCTTAGCCTTGAACATCGTGGATCGTATGAATCTTACTGCTCTGTTGTGCCGGCTGAGGTGTTTGGATATTCCAAAGACCTTGTGGAACTCTCTCTGAGTGGGGGCAAAATCGCCCTTGCTCCCGAGCATCAAGTACAATTTCCGAGGCTCAAAGCCCTTAGTTTAAGCTACGTCATGCTAGAAAGTGATGAAGTGATTTCTGGCTTACTTTCAGGTTGCCCCTTGCTCGAAAAACTGTCACTCACAGGATTCCTCAATGTTACCATAATAAGTCTTCCTAACTTGCCAAATCTAAGGCATCTGGAGTTGAGGCGTCTGAGAATTAATACCTCGTTTTTTGGTGACTTATCTTGTAAATTTCCTTTGCTTAGAGATTTATCCATGTATTACTGCTCTTTCCAAGGGGATTTACACACATCTAGCCCAACAATCGAATATCTAAACATCGAGTATCTAAACATCAAAACGGATAGGATCACGTGGAGTTTGATGTTCCAAGTATTCGTAAGTTTAAGTTTACAAGCTCGGAGATTCTGCCATCTTCCCTGTCTTTTAAATCAACAAATTTAAGGGAATGGGAGTCTCATTTATCCATAACGTCGGGTTGTTGTGTTGGGTTGGATAAATTATTAACCGATTTGAGACACTCCAAAATTCATCTGTTGATAAAAGTAGGCCACACGCGTAGTTTCAATTATGACGAGTGGGAGTTCAATGGCTTGACAATGCACCAAGTCGAGCAGTTGACGATAGATGGCATGTACTGCAACGCTCCATCTTTGACTTGTTTTGCTCTTTTAGATAGTTTGTTTCGGTTGTGCCGCCCAAAGTTCATCACTCAGCAGAATCACACTCCTAATTACCCGAGCGATTTCCTTTTCAAGGCGTTTCTCAGGCACGAAATAAATCAGGAATGCTCGGCTAGGAGCCTTGATATGTATAGTTTGTGGCATCTTGAGGAAGTAAGAGCTCAGGTTTTTTATGAAGATGTTCACACTTGGCGGCCTATTCTATTGGATACTTGGGATGCTTTAAAGGAGCAGAAGAAAATTCGGTTCCAATTGATGTGGAGAGATGAAAGCCAGCACCAAGTTAATTAAGATTAATGGTATTGTGCATTTCATTGATCTTGATAATTTATTTGCTCAATTCAATAAACATGAGTTGGATAATTTCACGAGGATGTTTTATTGTCTTTAATCTGTTATTTACTTTTTGTGGTTTGTTTTGGATTTGCCGCTCTAAATTAATCCCCGAGACTTTTGAGACAATGAACCGGAAATTCTTGAGCCATCTTATGTTTTGTGTGCATCATCCCAAGGAAGTAAATATGCAGTTTTTTTTTTTTTTTTTTTTTTTTTGGTGATGTTGCTGTGTAGACTTCATGGCCATGGGAGATGATTTTACGTTCTTCGACGAGAACATGTTGGTCCAGCTTCTATGACGGACTTATAAGATCGTGGTGTTCAACATAATATGGATTTTTTGTGAAAATTATAAAAGTAACTCCATAATTATAGTAGTAGGCTTGTAACTCTTAAATAATTAACCAAGGACAAATTTTGAGGATATTCACTTGCCTCATTGGAAATGACATTTTGTTCATATATCATGTTAGCTAACATGATACATATCCACGACTTTTTAAAATTAATTCAAAAGTAGTAGTATTCCAAAAGTACTCTTGTTAGAATCTGATCCACACAAGATTGCGATGGTTTTCTTGGACAAGCATGGTGTGTCTTGCTTTATGATGCTTTGGTGAAGGATTACATGTCATCTCCGAATCACACTAATACAAATAATTATATACAAAATAGAGCTATTCTGACATCCATATAATCAGTGTCCAATCTTTCGAATGAAAAGTTCATCACCAATCATAATTTCATTTAATCTGTTATTTATTTTTTGTGGTTTGTTTTGGAAATTGGAGTTGCCGTTCAGAGTTTGATTGTTCATTGCTCTTTCCACGTTTCTTAAGTTTGATTTTTAAAGGTTTCATAAGTTACTTCATTTATAGGACATATAGAATATGATTCAAGACTTCAAGTCATCATATCTCAATGCTAATTTGACATTTAGCTCATAAGATCTAATGTATATAATACCTAAATGAATGTCAAACCAATAAATGATTTTTGGATGTTAAATACTATTGGATTAGTTGCTTGCATTGCATTGCGTGATGAATTTTGGTAATTAAAGTGTACTTATTTTTATGAGATTGAGTGCTCGACTGAAAGGGTTCGTATATAGTGTGGTAATTGTTTTGCTTTCATTTTCCCGTAAGGCCCCACATGACAAACCCACACCACGGCTGCCTCCGTTATGTCCGTATTATGCCGTTTAAAGACTTGGTTTTGTATTGATATATTAATAGTTTAAGGCTGCTCTTATTAGCGTTGGTTCTATGAAGCGACTAATCTGACAAACATATTTATATGATTGTTTTTAAGGTAAATCAATTGCTAGGAGCAGGCAAAAAAAAAAAAATGATAATATATATGATTGTTTGTAATTAATTACGTAGATGAATTTCAAACCACTACTTGATTTTTTATACTTAATTAAGGTAAAATAGCGTTGAATATTAGGGAGTTGATGGCTAGAGGCTTGATCAGAATGGTGTCTGCTCATTCAAGCCAGCAGATATACAGCAGGGCCACCAACACTTAAGTCCTAATTTGAATGGGTTTTGTCCTTAGTTTTGACATTATTCTTGAATGTGTTGGGTTTGAGTTTGAGATATTCATGTTTGGTGGAACTTATTTATTGGGCAAAGCATCCTTGTTGAGATCATTTGAGCTATTTTATCCTAATATTTTTGGTCTTGGAATTGTTTTTGTCAACTCTTTGAGCCTGCTATATCATATCCTTAAGTTACTAGTGAAAAAATAAAATAAAATAAAATAGAGTTGACAAAAATTCTGTCCTGCCCTTTTGTTTTGCACTTGAATCATATTTTTCCAATTTTGGCAATTAAAGACAATAATTTCTTTATTGTTACAAATCGAATCATGTTGGTCATTTTTTGTGTCAGAAAGATGACAAGGCAAGCTACAAAAATGGACGTGGCTTCGAATAAAATAAAATTAAAAGAAAAAGTAAAACATTACTCGGAGAAAAAACCAGTAAAAAAAGAAATTCATGAGCAACTGTTAAATGTGCTGAAAAAAATATTAAGCCAATTAAATGCCTTGAAGTAGATTCATAAAAATGAAGATGAGCCGACAAAATGGATGTTGATGGGCATGTTGGATATAAGACAAAGAAGGTGACCTTGTCTACTTCTAATCGGTCGATAAGTTCTCCATACTGGCAAACATTTAGAGGAAATCGCAATTTTTGTTTTGCTAGTATAGCTCTATATGTGAAAAAGTCCTCTAAGCCGATTTGAATTTCATTCCAATTCCAATATGTACGGAAAGAAAAAAAAAGGTTGCAGCATGATAATTTCATTTGGTGATGGCGTTGGAAAATAAGAACATTTCTTATGGTTATTAAAAAATAACTAGTGAGTATCCCAAATAAGAACATTTCTTATCGTTTTTCAAAAATAACTAGTGAATATTCCGTGTGATACACGGTAAGCCTTGGTTCTTAATTTTTTATTTTAAATTTTATTTTAACTATATATTAGCTTGCTAATCGTTTATATTCATAAATAATATTTTAGCATCTATATTTATTTTTAGATATAGAAAAAATAATAATTTTACTTATTTTATTCATCATAATACTTAAATATTGTTTTATAAAATTTATTTTTGTATCATGTCATTATTATTATTATTATTATTATT